CTCACACCGACCGGGCCCGCCCTGCGCCCCGGCCCTCGGCACCGCTGCCCCCGCCCCTGTACCGGTACCCGCGGTACCCACACCCGCGGTGCCTCGTCACCCAACCCCTGTGTCCCCTGTACCACCCCCGGTACCGCCATCTCTAGTACCGGCATCCCCGGTACCCGCCTCCGGCCGGCCTGGGCATCAGGGGTGCCCTCCGCCGCAGGCGGGCGAGGACCCGGCTCCGGCGCAGGGCAGGTCCCGGGCAGGCTGCTGCTCCCAGGGGCCATGGCCACAGCAGCCCTGGGGAAAGACCCTGCCGAACCGTGCCCCGGGTGGCAGGGGACAGGAGTCCTACGGGTGCCTGCCCGGGGCCGCGGGGGGCCGTGGAGGGGCAGCGGGTGGCCCCGCCGACTCACCGAGAGGATGCGGTCTCCCCTCCGCAGCTCCCCGCTGAGGTCAGCAGGGCCTCCAGCCAGGATGAAGGACACGAAGATCCCCTCGCCATCTTCCCCCCCGACGATGTTGAAGCCCAGGCCGGTGGAGCCTTTGTGCAGGATGATTTTCCGGGGCTCCCTGGAAGGACAGACACAGGACAGGGAGACATCAGAGTGAGGAGCAGCGAAGCTGCTGACAGGGTCAGCCGTGCCCAGGCTTCCTGGCACACCGGTGGGGCTGGAGTCACCCCGAGTGCAACCTGGCGTGACGCAGCCCTCAGCAGCGAGCAGGCTGGTAAGCCAGGAGAGGTGCAGGCAGTTGCATGAGTGACGTGAGACAGAGCACGGATGGAGACAGAGCATCCGCTGTGAGAGCACGCACAGAAACATCGGACTGCAAGGCACCATCAGACGCCGTGAGCCTGGGCATCAAGGATGGCGTGGCCATGCCAAGAGAGGGGGATCAAGCCCCTCTGCACCGTGCAGCACAGCAAGCGTCCTGGCAACCCCACACACCCCCATGCCACAGGCCCTGCATGGCCCAACAGGAGTCCTAAATTTTTCGATGATGACTTAATTCTTTCGCAGCTCCAACAATAGGCAGGCAAAGGCAGAAAGACTGCCTGGCATCGCAAAAATCCTGTGTCAGTTTTCATCTGGGGAAAAAAAACAAGTCTGATGGGAACAACAGCAGCTCCCAGCTCAAGTGCTGGACTAAAATAAGAAGGAATAAATGACGCCAGACAATTAGCACAGGGTGGCGGTGATTGTCAGCCAACACAACACCACAGACCATCAGTGCATCCACTGTGGTGACCAGCTGGATCCCAGGCACTCCGGTGGGTACTGCAAGGACCGAGGACCTGCCAGTGAGCTCAGCAGACTGATCAACCCCACGCCTGCCAGGGAGCAGAGGAAGATCTTCAGGATGTGGTAGGAGAGATGCTGGAGCCCCAGGCACGGGACTGGCCAAGGGCACCCGTGGTGGACCCTAAAATGCTGGCAGACTTGTGCTCAGGGGACCCTGAGGCACCAGGGTGGCTGGCCCGGCCAGCCCCCGGCTGCTGGTGACAGCTGGGGAAGGAGCGGGGCTCAGGCGGCATGAGCAGAGTGGGGACCCAGGGGAATAAAGTTTGGCTGAGCAGACAGCACAGAGGCCTGCAGCCTGGCAGTGTGCTCCCCGGCCACTCTTGCAAGAAAATATCTTTTTCAGCCCCCTGGGCTAGGCTGGAGCATCAGGCAGCAGGATTTACCTTCAGGGACACGTGCCAGCACCCCAGGAAAAGTCTCCCACCATCCTTCCCTGTGGGGGAGTCCTGATGGGCTGAATGTCACTTAGCTCCAGGCAACCACCTTATAAGGAGCAATAGGAGCAGGAGACAGACAGCCAGAAGTGCAGGACGCCTTGCAAGAAGGTCTTGGTGGGCTCCTGCCCTGCCCAGACCCCGGGCTCAGCATAGCCCGACCCTCCCGGCTCTCCCAGTCGCTCCTCTCCCCATCCCCACGCCTCCCACCAGGCACAGCAGCATCCCGGTCCCCTACCTCTGGTCACACTTGCTCCTGTGGCCTCGCCACTGCCCGGAAGGGGACAGGGACAGCTGTCCCCTGTAGGACATGGACGACGAGACATTGACGGTGAACATTGCAGCGTGGCAGGCTCTGCTGGCAGCGCCGGCCAGGAGGCGCGAAGGCAGGAATGTTCTGAATGCTCCGTGTCACGGCTGCCCCGTGCTGCCTGTCTCTGCCTCTCATCGGCTGCGGGGCCCGCGGCTTCCCTGACCCACACACAGGGTTTTTTATGGAAGCGCTGAAAGGACGCAGCCTTCGCTCTGCTAGACCCTACAGACTTAACTCCTTCCTGCCCCTGCAGGCATGGACAGCACGGCCCCGACTGGGGGAGCATCCAAGCGAGGCCAAATGCGCAGCCGGGCTCCCTGTGCCTGCAGCTCCACTCACACCATGCATCCCCACAGCCCCTCGCCTTCAAACGCAGAGGTACGGCAGAGTTGTAACTCCAGCTACACATTTCTGATGGGGCAGAGGCTGAATCTACCTTGTGACCTCCAGAAAATACCTGCTTTATCCTTATGGCCTTTGGATGTGTTCGAGCTCTGGGCTAAGCGGGGCTCAGGATGCGGCTGGACTGGAGCGCAGGGCTGGGATGCACTGGGACCAGGAGAAGACCAGGGAAACACCACGGAAATGCCATTGGGGTCAAAAGGGGCTCAACCCCAAGTCTTCAGGATGCCACCAGCACTTGGCTCAGGGGTAGTTGTGAGAGGGCTGCAGCCACCAGTCCCTCTGCAGCAAAGCTATGCCTGGGGCTAGAGCTCTCCCAGGGGAAGAAACAGGTCAGATTCCTGGGTCTGCAAACCGTGCCTCCAACTAGGTGATGCACTTGCCCCTTGCGTTTTGCTGCTGCCCAAGCAGAGTGCAGGAACCACCACCCCAACTCAGCCCATACCCAGCACCCACGAGGACCAGATGGTTTGATGGAAGGCAGAGACACTACAGGAGCCAAGGAGAGGAAATGAAGCCCCAGACAGGTACCTCTCGGGTCTCAGTCATGACATGCACTCTCTGCTTCCATCCTCATCCCAGGAAGGCAGGACATGGATCCTCCAGGCAGATCCCATGCTGGACGTTGCAGCATTAACTCTGGGACCTCGGCACAGAGCGACTGCGGGGATCCTGTGGGGCTGTACTGGGTCTGGGTTGCAGTGGTCGAGCTCATTGGAAAACAGATGCTCTGGTCCCTGGCCCTGGGTGCTGCAGGACACGAGGGTCACTGGAGCCATGTCCACATCTGCAGCAGCGCTTATGCCCACGGGAGGGGAAAAGGCTTGATACTGGATCCAGGCCAGGACCTCTGCTTCTTCTGGGGAATGGCTGGCAGAAGCCTCCTGGGAGACAGCTTCTTTTTTCAGGGGAGTCGCTGCCTTTCCCCACACCAATAAGATGCATTTGGACCACACTGGTCCCAGTGCACAATCTTGGTGATGCACGAGCCAACAGACCGGTGGCGATGAAGCTGTCCTGGAGGGGTCGGTGATGCACATGAGGTTTTCAGCGTTGCCCTGGGATGGCTGAGGGAGGTGCCGAACCCACCACAGGCTGCAAATTTGGCGGGGAGCAGGGGGCTGTGGCTGGGGACAGTGGCTGAGTGGTGCCAGCCTGTCTGCAGCAGGGCCCTCCACAAGGCAGCACCATCCTCTAGTGGCCACCGGCACATGCTGCACCTGGGCCACTGCCAAGCCCCCGCTGAGCCACCGCCAAGCCATTGCCACTGGGCAGTGTCCAGCCCGAGCTGGGCTGCTCTCTCTGCTCTCTGTCCCGCCAATAAGGACGTCAGCACATGCAGGAAGGGGCACCCTGGTGGGACTGGGGTCCCTGACGAGAGAGAGATGGTGCCTTTTCCAAGTGCTGGGACTCAGTCCCTTCTGTGGTGCAATGTAATGGCAGAAAGCACTGCTCCTGCGTGTGGCATCATTCCCCAGTGCCCTGACAGCACAGGAGTCGCTACACCCGGCAAGGATGCAGCGCTGGGAACAGGCTGTAGGACCGGCATCGTGGGTGCTGAGACCAGGACGGAGAGATGGGGCACAAGCGGAGGCCAGTGTTGCACAGGTCACGCAGCACAGAGGCACCCGGCCATGGACGAGCACCAAAAAGTGAGAAATCCCTGTGATGAAGGTGAGTGCAGCCACTCTCCGGGAGGACAGCGGACCTGACGCCAGATGGCAAGCCAGGGTCTCCCACTCTGGCATCCACCAGTGCCCCACAGAACAGGACAAACCCAGCCAAAGCTACGGTATCTTCCACTGCAAACGCAACCCTGAAACCAGCCTGTGACCTCACTCCTAACCGCAGAGCCAGCCCTAAGCCTAACCTGAGTGTCAGTCCTAAAAATACAGCCTGAGCCCTACAGCCCTGGCCCTGGGGATACCAAACCCAGAGCAGGCTCAGCACCAGCCCTGAGGCTGTTGCAAGCAGAGAGAAAGCTGTGAGCCCGGGCAAGCAGAGCAAGACCAGCCAGGTCTCATTCTCCCATCCTCAGCATGAGGCTTTGGAGAAGTTTTACACCACATTTAGACTCGCAGCAATGTCTCCTTTGTGCTCCTCTTTATTTCCTGGGTTAAGGAAACAAACCTGCTCATGCAGTGTAAATGATGCTAGTGGGGGAAAAGGGGGCCGTGCCAGGGCTGTGCAGGAGGCTGTCAAGCCCGGGGCTGGCAGCTGGTGAAACGACACCTGGGTGCAGATGGTTTGGGATGCTAGGCTCGGGGAGCATGGGAGGAGGAGCCCTACTTCTACCCAGAGCTGTGCCCCCCCCCGGGCCCTCACCTGCAGCACAGCTCTGCTCGGGAACAGCCTGCTCGCAGCCTGGGAGCCGGCAGCGCTGCCGGCACCATAAGGGCAGGGAACACCTTGTATTCCAGGTATTGTAAACCAAGTAAGAGAATGAAGCTGAAATACAGATGTGTGAGGCTCGTGGAGGAGCAGGAGGGGGAATGGGGAATAGGGGGATGCAGCGAGGCAGGGAGCAACACAGCAGGGCTGGTCTGGGGGGGGGTGAGCATGGAGCTCACTGCAGGGGCCCCAAGCTTTGCACCATGCACCCACAAATGGGCTTTTGGCCAAGGCTCTGCACTGGCAGCGGGGATGCGGTCAAGCAGCCAGGGGGGGAAAGAGAGGGAAGGAGAAGGAGCAGGGATGAGGGATGCTCATGCCCAGTACTCACCTGGTGAAGTCCTCGTCCCCGATCATGTGCCGAGGGATGGGTGAGTACCGGGATGGAGTCACCTGGGGAGGGACGGGGTAGGCAGGCTTGCTCTCAACGCTGCCCAGGTAGCCCAGACTGGAGTTATGGCTTATGTGGTTGTCAGCCAAGGCTGAGAAGGCTGCAGGGGAGGAGAAGGGCATCAGGAGCAGAAATCCCTCTGCAACATGGATGTGGAGACCAGCCCAGCGTTGCCCGCTGCCCCAGCACGCTCCATCCCCCCTAGCCCTGTGGTGCCCAGGCTGCTGCGCCAGCGGCCGGCGGCGTACGTACTGCTGGCGTAGTCGGGGGGCGCGTACATGTCGTTGAGGTGGATGTTGCCGGGCTTGGCCACTTTCAGGTACACCATGTCGGAGGTGTTCTTCAGGGCAGCCACCGCCTCCTCGTGCCGCACGTCCTGCAGGTTCGTGTTATTCACCTGCCGGAAGGAAGGGGCTGGGTGACATGGCCGCCAGCGGGAGGGCAGGGGCCGATGCAGCCCTGCAGGAGCAGAGAGCTTTCCCACAGGGTAGGTGCCGCAGTAGCTCTGGAGACAGGGTCCCATCTCCATGGGTTTGGCCCTCCCGTCTGCAGCCGGTGCTGTGCCTGCCCCTCCCACACCACCATCCCAGAGGGGACCTCAAGGGAGGGGTGTGGGGCTGCTGGCGGGAGGGGTGCTGGGGTTCAGGATTGGCACCACAGCATGGCGGAGACTGCCCAGCTTCGCCTCACAGCCAGCTGCGGGCATGGGGCTTACTGCAAGCAGCCGGTCCCCGATCTGCAGGCGCCCGTCCTTCTGGGCAGCACCTCCCTCGATGATCTTGGTGATGTAGATGCTGTTGTCCCCGGGGATGTGCTGGTTCCCGATGCCCCCTGCGATGCTGAACCCCAGGCCTGAGGGGGAGTGAGAGAGCAAGTGAGGGATGAGGGACAGACAGGTGGATGGAACCCTGGGCTGGCACCACGGCCCCTCTGCCTCACTTGGCTTCCCACCCTGCCCAAAACCCGGCAGGCAATGGGCCACCCCACTGCTGTGTGGGGACAGCCCAGCCACAGCGGACTGCACCGTGGGGCTGTCCCACACCCCATGCCCCATAGGATGCCACGCTGCTGGGCCACCCTGTGGCATCCTGCACCATGGCGGTGCCACCTTGCATCCCACATCCCCCATGATGCTGCCTTGCACCCCGTGGCATCCCACACCAAGGGGTCAACCCACACCTTCCAGCGGGGCACCCCGGTCCTGCAAGCAGAGTGAGGGATTCACCTTTGGGGCCCTTCATCAGGTTGACCTCCATGATGGTCTCTGGCGGGGGTTGCCGGCGGCGCACCACGAGCCGCACCACGGGGCCCGCTTCCTTCAGGGCCTCCACGGCTTTGCTGTGCACCACCTCGGAGACGTCCACGTCGTTCACCCGCAGCACGCAGTCGTTCACCCTGTGGGCACAGGGTGGCCCTGAGCTCCCCTGGGGAACTGCCAGCCCCTGCCACCCTCCTCTGGACACCTCTGCCACCCTCCTCCAGCTGCACAGACCCTTGTGTGAAGGAGAGCTGCTCAAGCTGGCCAGATCTTGCCCTGCCGGAGTGAGAGCGGGGTCCCTCCCAAAGGGGGAGGCAGTGGGGCTGGTCCCCATGGTGCGACCCTGGTGGAGATGGGAGATGAGGGGAAAGGCTGGATCCTGCCCTGGTCTGCAGGGGGAAGGATAGGAGCCGGAGCCTGGTGCAGGGGGGGAGGAGGGGTGGCTGCAGATGGGAGGTTGGTGGCAGGGGACCGTGGGCATCCCTGCACTGAGGGGACCTGGCTGTGGGGAAGGGACTGGGAGGGCCAGGGATCATGGCAGGGGAGGGGGGCAGGAGCTGCCTAGAGGGTCCCTGGGGAGATCCCGGGTGACACCCTGATAGGGCTGCTCTCCTGGCCCTGTACACTCACCCCAGACGGCCGTCCATGGCTGCCGCTCCCCCAGGGATGATTTTGGTGATGAAGATACCCGGGTCATCTGGAATGTGGGGGTTGTCGATTCCTCCTGCTATGCTGAAGCCGAGGCCGGAGTTACCCTGTGGGAAATCAAACACTGTGTCTTCCCCCTGTGGGCAATCGCTTGCTGCTTGGCCTCCTGAAGCGGTTCCCTCCCAGCCGCGGCTGCCTGGGGCGCAGGAGCCCTTACAGCATCTGTCACGCCCCAGGGTGCCGGGCTCAGGGGGCAGAGGGCTGCGTGGCCGGAGGGGAGGCTGGCGCTCATCAGCCGAGGCGCTCGGTACAGCAGCACGGAGCACTGAGCAGATGGAGCAGGAGAGTGGGAGCCGCCGAGGACCTCCCTTGCCGCCGCGTCTCCACTGAGAGACTCTGAGGCAGGCGGTGAGCTGGGCGAAGAGGGGGTGGTCCTTGGCGGAGAAAACCTCCCCTTGCTGGCTGCTCCCCAGGAGGAGACACCAATGCTGCAGCCCACAGAGCAGCGGGGCTTGTGCCAGTCACCAGCATCCCACCCCTGCCCCCCTACACCCTGGGATGCAGCCCCCGCATGGAGCCAACCCAGGGACCAGCAGTGCTGATGCCAAAGTTCGCAGGACTGGGTGGAGGGGGCTGTCAGGATGGAGTGGGTCTCCAGTTCTGCCTCCTCTTCCTCCTGGACATGCTTGGAGCATCACTGGAATGCAGGGGCTGTGCTACCTCTCCAGCCCCATCCCAGCAGCTTCCCAGGATGAGCGGCCATGGCCCTGCACCGCCTCTCCTGTTTACAGGATCCCCATTAGTGACACACTCACAGGCGTTGCTTTCAGCTCTGTGCTTGATGCAAGTGGACAATTCCTGCTTTTTCTGCTCTGCCTTGAAAATCAGATGGCTCCTCGCCTTGTTTTCTCATGCGGAAGAGCTGACACTTAGTCACATCCTATCATGCCCGCCTCTCTGGTACACAAACGGGCTCAGGCCAAGCACTCTCCTGGCTGCCCACAGCCCCAGTGCTCAGCCTTAGGTGATGGGGAGCTCTGCCCTTCTGGGGAACCTGTGGCTGGGAGGGCCACACCGGAGCTCAGGCTCCCCGGGGTCATCTCGCACCAGCAGCCAGCTGGGGCTCGTGCTTCTCCCCAGCAATTTGGGCTCAGCGTCAGCTCCTGTGGCGATGCAGAGGTCTCCGCTCTGACTTTTTGCCACTCACGACACAGCATGTGGCGCCTCCAGGAGCCACCGATGCCTCTCACTACGCAATGCTCCTGGATGCTCTCCTGCTGGCCGGGATTTGGCCAGCACATGATGAGGCGGCACTCAACGGTGAAAGGTCTGAGGCCACTCTCTTTCCTCTAAGCTGGCTTCTGGTTACCCTGTGCCCAGCTCAAAAAAGCTGCTTACTGTCACCTGAGACCCAGCCTGGCCCCAGCAAGGCAGGAGAGACTGTCCAAAATGGTCTCCAGCCATTCATTGTGCCTGTCTATGGAAGGGTGTGCTCTGATGCTAGCTACAAAACCTGGAAAAGATCCAGGAGGTGTTTATTTTTATTTTGATAAACCTTGAAATGGAGTTCAAGGGATTTCTTAGCTGGCATTGGGGTTGATGTAGACACAGGGGCAGCTCCTGCTGTGGACACATGTATGGTGGGCAAACCCAAAGCCACATCCCTCTGTGGATGGCATTTCCTCAGTTATTGCCCCCAAAACACTGCTGCATTTGCCCTTGTCTTTACAACAAGGACAAGGATTAATAACAGTGACAGAGCAGCAATTTCAGGGTACACTGAGTCATCTCTGGGAGTGAAATACCCCAGCAAGGGGACAGCCTCACCCGCAGGCACCAGGGTGCTTCTCCTGCAGTAAGACGGGGCTGTTGGATCCCACTGGGGACCAGGTGAAGGGCAAGGACCTGGGTATGGTCCATGCTGGCCCTGGCTGCTAAGCACTAAAGTTCCCTCATGGTTTCTCACTGCTGGAGAGGGAATCGCTGCCTGGGGCTTTGAAATGGGGGGGGCAGCATGAGTGCTGCCTCTCCGTGCAACCCTGCCAGCTCCCCCCTGCTCCTGCTGTGGGCTGAGGACAGAGGATGCTCTGAAGAATCCCTGAAAACAACGCTTTTACCTCTAAATCGGGCCCTCAGCTAGAATCACTCAGCCCAAAAAGGAAGCATCCCCTGGGCTGGTTTCGTCAGGCATGCCGGGGAAGCGGTGGGTGAGGCGGCAGCCCCAGATAACCTTCCGTCCACCCACCTCTGTGATGCAGAGCCAAGGGGAGGAGGGAGATGACTAAAGGCAGAGAGGAACAGAATAACGAGCGATGCGTCTTGCCCTGCGATGCCGGCCACGCGGCAAGGCCGAGCCACCCGGTGCGGCAGCGGGGAGGAGGCAAGGTGTGCCACAGGCAGCCTCCCACCCCGGCCATCCCCACTCGGCAGGGCTGTGCCTGCCTCTCAGAGCAAACCTTGGGCCAGCTTTTCCCGCTCCCTCTCCATCCCTCCATCCCTGCCACTTCCTGGGTGCCCAGGAAAAGCCCTCCCTGCCCTGTCTGGTGCCGGCTCGCCCCTGGATAAGCCCCATCCGCGGGGGGAGCTAATTTTAGCCACAGCCGGTGCACGCCATCAGCTCTGCGTTGCCATCAGCTCTGCGTTGCCGACAGACAAGAAAAGGCTTGAGCAGAAACTCCCCCCGTTGTGGTCCAGTTTACTAGAAAACCCATCCTTGCCGCTTAGCATCCCCGGGCTGCGTACCCCGGAGCGATGGGGAGTCTGGTGGCGGGGGGACATCGGTCCCCATGCCCAGCTGCGGGGTGCGCCTGCCCGCACGCCTGCACACGCAGAGCTCCCTGCACCTCCATTTTCCAGCAAAGGCAGTGACAAAGAGCCTCCCTCCCTCCCCGGCTCTGCGCTGGTGGGTTTGTGGGGGTGAGGGTGTAAATGAGGGAGGTGAGGGATAAGCCCTCCTCCCTCCCTTCTGGAGGGGTCTGCGGGGAAGGGGGGAGCAGCAAGCCCACCATCGCCATGCCGCGGGGCCGTGCAGGGAAGGTGAGCACAACACCCCCAAAAGCCTCCGGAGAGAGCGGGGAGCGGAGACCGACCTCTCCCCATCAGCTGGCGCGGGGATGCAAGGCGTGCCGGTGTGGGAGGGCGAGTGGGAAGAGGCAGCAAAGGCTGCTGGCGGGTGAGTAAAGAGCACTTACCCTTTCCAAGACGATCTCCTCGTATTTGAACATCCCATCAGTGCCGTTCACCTGGAGAGAGGGAGACAGCATGTTATGGCTCTGTGCCGGTCCTGAGGGGATTTGCTTATCCCCTCTGATAGCTGAATATCAAGAATCCAACCTAAAAGCTGCACCATCACAGCTGAAAAAAACCTTAAACACAATCGCTTGAGCCTGCCCTGGAATTAAACCGTGTGCTGCTTTTCTTTCTGGGCATGAGCCAAAGCCCACTGACTTTAATGCACTTCAGCGCAAAGCCTTTATTCTCCCAGCTCATTTCTCCAGCCATGAAAAGGAACACAACTGAAAGCACAAAAAGAAATAACGCCTTTGTTACGCAGCATGTAATTAACCTCGGGAATTCACTGCTGCAGGAAGGAAAGAAAGGGGGTTGGTCCATTTAAAGGAAAAAAAAATAATGTCTGTACATAATAACATAATAAACACCTTTAGCAGCTTATATATTTTAAATCTTTTAGTAGCATGACTGTGTTAATGGGGAATTCAGAATAATTTATTCTACTGAATTAGTTGGGTGCAAAGGAAACGAGGTGTGGGGCACAGTAAGAGGGGAAAACACTGTGATGCCCTTATATAAAAAAATGGTGTAGCCTGTCTCAACGCTGTCACCGTACTCATCCCCATGCTTAAAAATCTCCCATACCCACAGTGTCAAAGCAGGGCTCTGGGAAACGTAATGGCTTGAAACAAAAGGGATGCAACTGTAGGCTCTAAAATAAGAAATGGTAAATGTACAGGTCAAAACCTTCCATTGTCCCCATAAGCAACAACGCGCAGGAAAATAAGGCAGCAGTTTCAGGCTATAAACAGCTGCTGAGGTCTCAAATTTTGCAAGATTTGCAAAGCAATTGGCTATGGAGCATCCAGAGCTGTTACACTCAACAGCAACAGTTTTGAAGGGGACTGGACTCAGCCTCACAATTTGAGTCACTCTGGGAACCAAGGGACGGGATGCAGGCAGGTCTGCATGGCACGGCAGAGGCGGCAGGACCCGGGGCTCAGCAGGCGAATGCCTCTCCCCACGGCCCCTGGACAACGTGCAGGGTTCCTCATGTGGATTTTACATCCTCCGTTAATTGATGGCTTGTAGATCATGCGGAGCCACTTTCTGTACGCGCTCTGTATCCCAAACCGGAGCTGCCGTGGCTTTGTTTGGACATAGGTCCCCTTATCCAGCGCTAGCATGACAGTTGTGTCCTGCTTGCCCAGCTCCCTGCTATCCGCCCCCACGGAGGCACAGCCCGACCATCCTCCAAAGCCCCACAGTGCTGGGTCGTTAGATGGAGGGGACAGCAAACATCATTTATGCTAAAGCCATCATCTGGCACCATGGAAGGAAACTCAGCGAGGTGGCTGTGAGGCCCTATTTATAGGTAGGAAGAGGAAACAGGAGTTTTTCTAGGTGGGAATAATCAGGTGCCCAGGTGGAAGAGCAGTTCTGCATGCCAGGGTCTGGGAAGGGGCTGTGCCACCTGTGACACATGCACCCTCATCCCCTGCCTGGTTCAGCCCTGGTGAGGCCAAAGCAATCCCACACCCTGTTGTGGGTATCACACTTCAAGAAGGATGAGGTTGGGGAGAGTCTGGAGCAGAGAGACGGGATGGGGGCTCCAGGGAACACAGACTGAGGGTTGTCCCTCCTCGGATGTGCTCCATGCCTGGTGCCTCTCAGCCATGGGAAGATTTCAGGGCATGGTTCATGTCGGGACACCCAGATCCTCCAGTATTAGGATGCTCTAATCCTCCCAGCATATTGGGAAAGGCTTTGGTCAGCTCTTGAACAGGACCCCTCTGCAAAAAAACCACAGGGAGTGGTGGGATTAACGCACAGCAGGAGCTCTGACAGCCTCGGAGGGACAGGGACGCGTGACCGATGCCACCTCCTGCCACGGCACCGCCCTGGGCCATGCTCCCGCAGGCAGGGGGCCATGGCTTCCCTCGCCACAGGCTCCCCCTCCGCCATGGGTTGCCTTTCCCTCCTCGCATTCTACCGTACTGACTAATCTTGAGTGGAGCCGGCTCGCCGGCCCGCACCACCCTCACAGCCTCCCTCGCTGCAGCCCCCGGGCTCATCTCGTCTCCGCAGTTGGTAGCCCGGTGCGTGGGGCGCAGCGTCGCCTCTCCCCGGCTTTCCAGCAACTCGGATTCCTGGCACACTTCGCTACTACACACATTGTCCTCTCTGCTTTGGCATTCAACACAGTTGCCACACAGCCAGCCATATGCACACCCACGGCCACAGAGGAACAGCACATACATACCTACAGGATGGGGATGTGCAGAAAACTTTGACAATCTGTGAGCCGTGGAGAGAGCCAGCAGTGCGCGAGCCCCGCCAAGCGAGCGGCTGCTGCCGGCAAGTTCCCGGGGCGCAGAGACACTCCGGCACGCAACCCCGTGAGGCACCTCGCTGCCAGGCAGGTGAGTTTGGGGTATCCCTGCTCCTCAAATCTCAGGGCTGCCAATGCTGAGTGGTGTTTTGCATTAGTCTCTGAAAGTGAGCGGTGTCGGTGCTTGCCTGGTGCAGCACATGCTGGGAGCAGGCTGCTCCGTCCAGGCATGCCGGGGTCAGCCAGGCCTGACCATGAAGTTTTAGCTCTGATTATGTTTCCAAAATCCATGTAACAGAACGCCAGTTAATTGCATAAGGAAGCCAAATGGAGAACTTAATATATACCACGTAACCAAGGGAACGAGCCAACAAAGCAAACGTTCCAGCGTCGAAAAATTGAATACCAGTCACTCACTGACGGCAAAACCTCCCCGTGGCACCCACCGGAGCCACCGCGACCTGGCTGTGCCGCAGGCTTCTCCCCCCCTCCTTCGCTGGTGCCCTGTGCTCCTCCCCAGCTCCCGTTTGGGGCCATCTCAGCGCTACAGGCTCAGTGGGGAGATGCTCGGCTCCATCGCAGCCGGGAAGGAAGAGGTCCCCTTCGCTGGCCTTCGCTTCCCTTTCATGTTTTAAGAAGCAGGGAAATAGTTAGTGATGATGACATTTAAATCATCAACAGAAGGCTGCAGAGTTAACACTCATTTGATAAACAGAAGAGCACACACCTTCCAGAGCTACTGCAAGCTGTCTGCAGGCTCCGCCGGCCAACACCACACCAGCGCATGTGGAACGTGCTTTGCAATTTGCTAGAGAGTCAGGATTTGGTTTGCTTTTTTTTTTACATATAAAAAAAGGAGGCCAAATTTAGAAGGCTAAGATGGGGTTCCTCAAACCCAACCCAAATAGCCCACCAGGTTGCAAGAGGAAACAACCTGCAGGGAGGATAACACTGCCTGCAGCCACTTTCAGAGCAGGATCTAGCCCCTATCTTGCGGTTAGGACGAGATGGGGACAGGCACTGGGACCTAGTGGCGGAGTAGCTGTGTACCAACATAATGAAGAGAGACTGAAGGCTGGAGGGTCAGCCCTCGGCAGTGCCAGCCGGACCCGGGGGGTGGAGGGAGCCTGGCGATGCCCCATGCCTGCCCCAGCGAGGGGGAAGGAGAGCAGCCCTGTGCTGGGGCAGCGGGTGCGATGGGCACCTCCCTGCTGGCATGGGCACCGGCAGCGCTGGTGAGGGAGAGCTCTCCCTGCCTGCACATGGCAGGGGGCCCAGGGAAAATAGGTCAAGAGCTCCCTCCCTTCACCTCCCCGCATCCACGCGCCCTGCGACAGCACCGAGACCCACTGACTTGCTTCCAGCTAACCCCTGGCCTCAACCCCCTTGAGCGTGTTGCCCACGGTGTTGGTGTTGCGCGCAGAGTAAATAAACACTGTATTTCTGGTCAGCCTTTTGCCAGAGGGCTGTGGGGATGAGCCTGCTGAGCTCGGGCAGAGGGAAGGGGTTTGAAGCCTGACGGCCCCAGAACACAGCCGGGAGGGCTCCGCAGCCACGCTGTCTGCGGGAATTGGCAGCGGGATGTGCCACTGCCAGCACTTGGGACCAAAGTGTGAGGGTGGCAGTTTAGATTTTATTTTTCCTATTTTTTCAGGTTTACAAGCAAGTTTTGCCCTGTTCAAAGGCACTGGAATGTGGTGGCCACCTCTGCTGCCCCCCACCCTGCAGCGACCATGGCTGGGGACCCTGGCAGCATAATCAGTGCTGTACAAGGAGGTTGCCTCCGCGCTCACTGGTGGCAGAGCCTGGGGCTCCTGTGGTGCTCAGTGGCCGGGATCAGGCCTGGGAAGCACTTGGCTTCCTCAGACCTGGCTTTTGGAGATCGAGTTGGTGGTGGCACCTTGCTGCTGGGCTCCAAGGACCCAGGCTATGAAACCTTCAGCTCCTCAAAGGCTTTGGAGTGACCTTCCCTGCACACTTCGGGACTGCCTGGCAGCTGTTGACATGCACCCTGGGCAGCAAGAAGTTGTTTCAGCTTCGGAGAGGCAGGTCTGAAACACAGAGACCCTGTCCGCCATGGGAACTAGGCTTCTGATGCTCTGCCTCCCCACTATGGACCTGCTGGGCAAAACACAGAAAGGGGTGAAACTGTGAGCAAGGACCTGGAGCTGGCACAGGTGATCCCCCCGGCACCCGTCCTTACCCTTCAAGGGATGCTTTTAATACAGAAGGAATTTTATAAGATTTGGGTTTTTACACCCTGGGGGTGCTGGGCTCTGTGCAAGCCGCAGGCAGCAGAGCTGAGACCCGGCCCCAGTGGTGAGTGGGACCCGGTGCTGTAGCTCGTACCTTACGGTGCTGCTGGTGCCACATGCTCTTGGGGATGGAGGTGGGTGGACAGAGAGACTGAAATGTGGAGCAGACTTCTTGATAAAACAGCCGGGGCCAAATTCAGCCCAGCAGCTAGTCCAATGCAATCAATGAAGCTAGAACAGGAAGGAACTAGAATACATCCATCTGTTTATCATTAAGGAAAGCATTGAATAGTTAAGTAATTAAAGACTGGAAGATGTGCCTTTAACCCTTCCAAATACATACTGTACCAACAGGCTTCAGCTTTTGGGTTTGCAAAAAAACATGCTTCCAGATTTGCCATTTTGGTGTGCTCTTCTGCAGCAAGCCCCTGGTGTGGCTCTTTTGCTGACCTGGGAAACTGCCAAACGGGAGGTTTTGGGGTGTGTTTTCCCTGTAGTCTGAGGAGCCCGGGCACCCCACAGAAGGAAAAGATGGAGCAGGGCTCATTTCTGTGCTGGTATGACATGAATCATAGAATCATTAAGGTTGGAAAGGACCTCTGAGATCATCGAGTCCAACCTGTTAACCTAACTGCCTGGTCCACCTCTAAACCATGTCCCTAAGCACCACATCCACACGTTTTTTGAATACTTCCAGGGACCGTGATTGTACCACTTCCCTGGGCAGTCTGTTCCAATGCCTAACCACTCTCTCATGAAGTAGAAGGCAAGAGGGTCTCCAGGCTGGAGGCTGAGAGGAATCAAAGTGAGGTGTCTCCCCTGCCCTGGGCACAGGCTCCTCCGGGCACCCCACAGGCAGCACATGCTTGGGCACGGGGCTGGTGGCCGCCATGCTGCCCAGCAGACGACTGCCACAACCTGCCCCTTCCTTTTGACCACTGCAGGGCAGCTCCGCCCTGGCATGTGCTGCTGGGGTAGGTGACTGCCATCCCCAGGGTGATGCTGGTGCCTGCCAGGGGTGCAGAGCAGCCCCCGAAACCTGGCCAAACCCACCCCAGGGGCTGCAGGAAGGGAGCTCCCATCCAGCACGGCAAGAAGGAGCTGCGGCCAAGGCGCAGGGAAAAGGGACGGATGGGGTTATGGAGCTAACAAGGTGAAGGGAGAGGTGGCGGGAGGGAGTTAATGAGATGGAGTGTGGGGAGGCAGCCAGGAGGGCAGGAAAGTGGAGAGCACTGCGATGGGAGGAGGCAGCCACTGGCCCCATGGGTGGGCTCCCTGCTGCTGGCTTCTGCAGGGCTTGGGAGCCTGCCTGGGGTGACAGAGCCTGTCCTTGGCCCTCGGGCTCACCTCTCTCTGCCCTTGGGCACACAGGCGGGGAGGAGGAACAGGCACGGCTGGAGCCTCGCGAAGGATGTGGTGCTGGTGGCTCCCATGGCAAGAAGGCGATGTTCCTCCAAGGGAGGGAGGGTACAAAACAGACGTGAAAGCAGACTTCCCATCCAGGAATACCTCCCTGCCCTGCCCACAGCACACCTCTCACTTGTCCCAGTCCAACCTTGTGGTGTGCCCTTCCCCTCCAGGAAACGTTGCCCTTTTTCAAGTTCCCTGTAGAAGGGCACCAGCTGGGTGAGTGCAGAGAGCAGGCTGCAACACGGCACTGCCTTGCAGCCAGGGTGCCCAGCATGCTGTGAAAAGCCTCCAACCCCACAAACACCCTACCATGCCATGCGTTTTGAGAATGAAACCTTTGGGGACAGCAACTCTCTTCTGCCATGCTCATACAAGGCTGCTGGACCCAGGCCACCATGCTGAGAGAGGCACCATGGCGTTCCTCCCCAGTGCCAGGTGGCTTTGGTTCAGCACCCAAGGCATAATTAAACCATACAGCCAGGGTTGCAGAGGTCTCATGTGGGCTTCCCTTCCTTTTTGTAGCTCTGCCCAACCAGCCCAGCACAGCTCTGATGCACACTGACCTCACCACAGGCTGTGGGCTGACATCTGCAGTTCTTTACAAAGAAGGTTCAACCACCAGAAGTCACCTGCAGCCATCCACCATGACTCCAAAGACAAACCAACCCCAGCTCTGGGTCCTGGTGCTGCTTCATTAATGTGGAAGGCAGCTGAAATTTGCTGCATCAGAAGAAAACCAGGTGCAAAGCACCCAGCCCTGGCAAGCTGTTAGGCTTTCCCTTTGGGGAAAAAAGGGGGAGCACCCCATGAGCATGAAGCCAGTGCTGCAGAAATCCACACTGGCCACCCTGCTCCCTCCATCCCTCTGGCAGGAACGATTTGCAAATGTTCTGGGAAGGTATGCAGCAGCGTGCAAACCCTCTCTGCAACAAACTGAGGAGGATTATCTTTATACTATGTCAAGAGTGCCAAATGCACTGTGGCTGCAAACACTCACAGTCACCAAGCACTGCTCAGCTGCTGGCAGCCTTCACTGGGAGAGAAGCAGCATCTGATGAGTCCTGCTGCCCTGAGGACCAGCGTGTGCAATGCCAGGGAGCACCCAGAGAGCCCTGCCTCCCTCCTGAGAGGCTGGGGCTGCCGACACACGCTGAGGCCATGCAGGAAGGTAAGAGATGCCCCAGCAGAGCCTCGCAGCCACCCTGCATGAGAGGCTGAGGAAATGGCTGTGTGGGTAACCCCGAACACAGCCAGCCCAGCTCCCCCTGCTCCTCTGATGCCTGCTTACCCCACAGTGTGCCCCTCTGAGTGCCTCCTGCCTTGTACCCTCCCTGTGCTGGAGTCCCCAGCATTGCTTGCTGATACCTTGGCTCTGCTCAGCATCGCCCAGCCCCAGCGAGGTTTGGGGGTGGGATGTGCTGTGGGGACGTGGTGCAGGTACCAGGCTCCTCTGCCACCTCGCCGGGGCTTCCTTGGGCTGGAGGAGCCTTTCCTGCACTGCCAAGCAGGGAAAATGCACCGCTTGTTCAAAGGAAGTGAAACAAAACCAGAAGACTTACAGAAAGCCCTTGTTCCAGCGAGTCTGTGTTCACGATAATGGGAGCAGAGTTGGCCTGTGAGGAGACAAAAGCAGGATGTCACCGAGCTGAGCGATGAACCCAGCCCTTCGTGGTGCACTGCCTCTCCCCTGGCCATGCCACCACAGGCAAAAGAGAGCAATTCTGGAAGGGCTCTGCTCTTGTCCCTCCTCCAGGTGCCCAACAACCCTGGGACAGGAGCAGGGCCACAGCATGGCTCTGGGCATCAGTCCCCTCCTCAGGCCTGGTGTGTCCCCAACACCCCATGGCCTTGGCTGCTGGGAAGGCGACAGGGAAGACTGGAAACTCTCCCAGCCTCGGGCCAGAATCCCACCAGCACCAAAATTTACTTGCAGTCCACATGACTGAGGGATTAGGAAACAGGAGGAGTAGGGAAGGAAGTCCTTCTGAGGGAGGGATATACTGCCAGCAGACCAGCCCTGAGGCCTTCACACACCTTCCAGCAGCTGCTGCTGCCCCTCCTAAGCATGGGGCCACCATGCCCTGGGAGAGCTGGCAGCGTTTGGGTCCTCATCCTCGTTACCTACCTCCTTGGCAGCGTCGGCTCATTCCCCCT